ACCTTTCAATTGTGAGTTGATTCCTGGAATTTAAGCCTAGCACCAATAATTTGGATGCCTCAAATTGAAATCACAAATCGCCACAAACTTGAAAAACCTTATGAGAGTGTATGCTTGCTTATGGAAATCGGCCACCACCTTTTACACACACAACTAGTATCATTTCAAGCATCATAAGCTCCTTTATATAGTGTGGAGGATTAGGGTTACATCCATGTAAACCCTAATACCCATGACTCTTCCTTTCCAAGGATCCATGGGTTAAAAGCTCCATGGACTCCCATGCATGTCAAGCCCATTCCAAATGAGTATTAGCCCACACTTATATAAATACAAGATCCCATATTTAATTAGTCACCTTTTTTATCACTAAATTAATTCTAAATTAATTTATCATCAATACTAATTGAATAATATGATTTCATATTAACATATTATAACTTATAATATATTAACAAATCATAAACATACAATTCTCAAAGGTTTAACCATTAATAGTTCAGGTGAAGTGCAACCCAAATGGGCCATGCCGGGTCGATTCAAGTATATACCAAATAAAGTTATGGACTTAGACACCTTATGCAACACTTAGAATTTTGGCTATCTCTTCAAGGGTATGAGTGGTGGAAATTCCTTAGGGGTGAGGGTCTATTTATAGTGCAACAAGGATGCCTTGAATAACCCTAATATAATAATAATATTTCAAATTGGTAATTATTCAGCTCTTTATTTATCCACATGAGATATTCTAGAAACCCTAGAATATCCATATAAAAGTTGTCCACCCCTTCTCCAATAAGGTTCTGGAGCCTCTTGTTCAACTATTGAACAATTTCACTTTAGACCCTACACTTTTAATCCTAAAATTTGTTCTAATCAATTTCTTATTAAATATTAATTAAATGTTATTATTTCTAATTAATATATTATTCTCATAATATATTAACAAGTTATTTATTTCAATTTGTTAATCAAATAATAAATAAACATCTATCTCCAAAAGTCATCATGTCCAATTGCTAGTTTTGAGGGCAACTCAAAAGCACTGTCTACCATCAATTCGGGTTTATACCAATTACAGTTATGGACTTAGACACCTAATCCAACAACTACTCTATAATTCCACATATGTCCATGATGAGACTTGAACCTTCGACCTCAAGGAGGGAGGACAACACTTGATACTGCTGAATAGAGTAACTTAAAAGCTTATGTAACCTAGACACTTCTTAATTGGTACAATGGTTATAGAAGCTCATAACATATTTTCTTAGTTAAAGTCACGAATCAATGAAACTTATAATTTATCAAAATTAACTTGCATTAAGATTTAAGAGCCACCAAGTCCAAAAGGAAATCAATATGTTTTCATTTCCATTATGAAGGAAATACTTTCATGATTTGGGAGAAATGAACATTTATAAACAAATAAATCATATGTTGCTTGCTAATTTGATGATCTATTACTTGACCAAGAAATCAACAAACTAAATAAACATTCGTTCATCTAAACTTATGATTAATGACAAGTAAACATAAAAAGATGTTCAACTAGAAAATACTTCCATAAACTTCAACCACAAGTCCATAAACAATCTTCAAAATAACTCATCATCCATGCGTTAAACCAACATCAACCAAGATAGACTTAGCCTAACATGGCTAAGATTAAGGAAAAGAAAGTTAGCTTAGAAATACCCAACATAATCCAAGAAAAATAAGATGAAAATCAAACTCTTCAAGTGTTCTTCAAGCTACAATATCTCCAGAGAAAATGCTTTAAAATATGATCTCCAAAGTGTGTAAAAGAACCCCCACCAACCTTCTTCAAATAGTTGCCACAAATGAAAAGACGAAATTCTCCCTCCTGGAAGTCTATGCAGGTTGCATGGCTCTGTGACCAAGTTTTTACGTATGCCATGTAAGGTCTGCAGAAGTGGGCTTCTTTTCTTTTTGGGCCTGCGATGCTCTTAGCCCAGCCTTTCGTCTTTAAAAAAACCAAAATTTATGAGACGAGTTACACTACTTCATCGAAGGTTTGATTTTAATGGAGAGGATGAGCTCGAACTCGAAGAGGTAGTCCGCCCGATGGGTTGAGATGAGAAGAAAAAGAGAGGGTGATGTATCGAGATTCAAAAAAAGGAGATGACATGCGCAAGGTGGCAAATAGTTTCGAAATATATAATTTGAATTTGAAACTCGTTTGCAATTCGAAAAGGCGAAATTAGACAAGAAAAAAGAAAGCACGATGGGAGAAGAAAAGAGCATGGTAAGTACAACAACAAAAAAAAAACTCGTGATACGCAAAACATTGACCATCTTTTCATGAATGATCTCGAGATGGTTTTGAAGGCAAAAGAGGATATCATGAAAAATATATTTCAATTAGACTTATTTTGTATTGTTTTTTATTTACTTGTCCTTTTAAACTAGGTAATCATTTAACTAAATTAATGAAATTTCTCTTTTATTATTTTAAATATTTATATAATTACAAATAATATTTTAACATATTAATTAAAAAGAAAAGAAAAGTGAGAGGTGATGTGATAAGACTATTTCATATCAGTTAAATGAGGTGAAGGAAGAACAATGAAAGTATGATGACTTTCATGTGAGAAATCGAAAATATGGTGACATGAGTGACCACACCCATCACTATTAGAATATTTTTTAAAGCTTCATCCACCACAAAAGCAAACTTTTTTAAGGCCAAGTCACTTTCTTCAAATCTAGAATCACAATGCTCCTCCATGTCATTGTAATCAAGAAATGAAATAAACTGTGAGCAACAATGAAGACTATAATCAAGAATTGTAACTTAATTTAAACATTTTTAACTTCAATAACAATAAATTACATGTAATCAAGAGATGTAACTCTATTTAAACATTCTTACCTTCTTAACAGTATGCATATGTGTGCGTTCAGTAAAAAAGCACTAATAAAGTTACACTTATTTAATTTAGGCAGAATTTCGTATATGCCCTTGCTAAACAACTAAATATCGTATTTGCCCGGTCTAAACTTTAAATATCATATTTGCCCTTCTTAATGTTTTTTAATATCATATATACCCAAATCTATATTTTTGATAATTTTTATTGATTTATTATTTTTTTTACCATTTTAAAATCATTAAAGCTAACACAACAATCAAACGGACAATATTGCCCTTAGTTTTAAAATGCAATACAACAAATCAGGTGTTCCTTATGGCAGCCTCTTAAGACATACGAGCAGCCTTATATTCCCCTTTGTTGTCTTTAATCATTATATTTTTACAAATTAGCACCGTGGATTTTCAGATCTACAGTGCATTAGGGATCTTCTTCTTCACATTGTATCTCATACCACCTGCATCCATCAGTACAATTGAGATACCTCAACAACACACCTAATCAAGCTCTACCCAGATCAATTGAAACTCGTGCTTCTGGATTCGCACTACACTGAGCTCGTTGAGAAAGCCCTTCTTCGACAGACCCTTAAGGAAGGAGTTTTTTGTCATAACATCACCAATTTGAAGCAGCTTTGGAGAGGCATTTAGATCCTAAGTTCAAATGGTTCTTACTTGAACCTGGGAATCTCAAATCTCTGCATAATATGTTGCTCTTTCATATCATATTGTCTCAGTTCGGGTCGAAGGAGTGGCCGAAGGAGGATTTGGCATCAGTAACATATGAAAAATTGTGTGTTGAGGAAGCTGAGAATCATTTGTTGTTAATCTGAGAAAACTCCAGCGAGAAAATACTCGTTGGTTCAGCTAAAGTAATCTGTCTCCATGAAGTAGTCAGACCAGATGGGTTAATTCATGGGATTAAGAGATTGTTAGTCCCCATATTAGTACAAGAAGAGTTTAACCAGAGAATAAGCTTGAGTTCAGTTTCAGCTGTTTTACTTGAAGGAGCTCCGATGGTGGATCCGAGAACCCATGGAAGCAAATAATTTACAACCATTTGATCCTGTAGTATCAAACGGAAGAGAGTATAAGTTTCAATCTGAAACATTGTGGCTGCCACGTAAGGTGGAGGCGGAGGAGGGTGATGGATCGGTGAGGAAGGCGACAATCATGAGGAAGACGACGACCATAGTACAATTTAGTTTTAAGGTTCAACTGATTTATCATCGTGAATTCGTGAGGCGGAATTTTGTTTTTGGAAAAGGAATTAAATAAATTAAACCAATGATTTGTAAAGGAAGGGCAATATTGTCCATTTGGTTGTTTTTTTTTAGTTTTAATGATTTTAAAATGGTAAAAAAGATTGTAAATCAATAAAAATTATCAAAAAAATAGATTTGGATATATATGATATTAAAAAACATTAAGAAGGGTAAATATGATATTTAGATTTTAGGTCTGACAAATACGATATTTACCTGTTTAGCAAGGGTATATACGAAATTTTGCATTTAATTTAACCCTCCAATTGTTAAACCTTTTGGTGTTATAATAAGCCAATATCCATGTAATACCATTTAATTGAACAAAGTGTAGTCACATAGGCAATTGGTAACTTCAAATATAGTAGAAATTTGAAGAAAAAAAAAATGATACATATTGTGATGTTCGAGTGAATAAAAAATAAAATTATAACATAATGTCTTTGGTGCCATTTTCCCTTATATTATATTTTTTTTATATAATATATATAAGCCACGAGGAGAAAAAATAGAGACAATTTTATGCAGTTAATTTTAGCAAACTATATAATAAGCCAGTATTGAATATTTTCTAAAAGTTAAACATCATAATTCGTACGTTATCATGTTAGTGATGTTTTTTTTCCAAAAAAAGAAGATTACTTTGCTGCCAAACATTGTTAGTGATAATGCTTTTTCCAAAAAAAGAAGACAACCACTTTGCTGCCAGACATTGACTATAGTACCAAACAAGAGACATTCATCTCGAATTTAGATCTAAGACAACCAAAATCAGAAGCAACGAAACTTATAATCACAGCTTATATACACTCTTGTAATTCTTCTCAAGTACTTCCATGGCCATCCTCACTGAATTACCAGAAGAACAAGAAGCGGCAATAACATATGATGTTTTCCTGAGTTTCAGAGGGAAAGACACTCGTCTGGGTTTTATGGATCACCTTTACCAAGCTTTGGTGAATGAAAACATCTCTACCTTTCTTGATGAGGAAGAGGTTGAAACTGGGGAAGAACTTAAACCCGAGCTTGCAAAAGCTATAAAAAGCTCCCGTGCTTCCATAGTTGTGTTGTCTAGGAACTACGCATCTTCAACATGGTGTCTGGACGAGCTCGTGATGATCCTTGAGCAACGAAGGGTCTCTGATCATTTTGTTCTCCCTGTTTTTTACAACGTCGAGGCTACACATATCAGGAAGCAAGAAAGCAGTTTTGGAGAAGAGTTACTTAAACACAAAAAGAGGATTGAGTCCGAAAAGGATGCGGAGAAGAAAATTCAAGGGGCTCGTAAGTTGGAGATGTGGAGGAAAGGACTTACAGAAATTGCTGATTTGAAAGGAAAAGATGCAACTGGAAGGTAAAACATTCATACTACATTTCCACAAAATTCTTCAGTTTTGTACTGAGAACTACAGCCAATATACATCAAGTCCACTAAAATCCAACAATCCATGGGTCTTAAAGCATACCATTGTGAGATTTAGCTTTTTACCATTGTTAGGGATGAAAAGCTTCATGGGGACGAAGCCATGGAAACATATACAATGTAGCCCTGTCATTTGATTAAACTATGCGAATATTTTTATATTAGTCCCTTAATTTCATATTAATTAAAAGGATGCAAAAGACTAATTATTGATCAGTTTTATTTAATTTGATATATGGGCTGTTGTGTCTAGTTGATAGGATTTGATTACTTTTTCAGAAGAGAGACGGTGGTCATTGAAGAAGTCATGAAAGAAATAACTACTAGACTGGAACTACACTTGCAAAGGAGAATGCCACACCTAATTGGGATGGACAATTCTATTCATACCATCAGTTATTGGTTAAAAAGAGGATCTTCTGAAGCTGCTGAAATTCTTACAATTTGGGGAATGGCCGGGATCGGAAAAACAACATTGGCAAAATATATGTATTTGTTGCACTGCCATGAATTTGAAAGAAGTAGCTTTGTTGAAGGCATTAGAAGAAGATGTGCACAACAGACATGTTCCCAACTAGATTTGCAAAAACAGCTTCTTGGAGACATTCTCAAGAAAAAAAAAAATTGAAGAACATGATGCAGATCGATGCACATCTAAAGTTGAAAAAGCATTATCCAAGAAAAAGACACTTTTGGTTCTTGACGATATTGACAACTTTGAGCAACTGAATGTGTTGATTGGAAAAAAAAGGTTTTCATCAAGGAAGCAAGATTATAGTAACAACCAAAGATGGCTCCCTAACAGAAAAGTATTCATTGTTTCGTATGAAATTTCCTCCAAAACATACAAAGCATGCACTAAGTGGCTTAAGTGATACTGAATCTGTGGGACTTTTATGTTGGCATGCGTTTGGAAACAATGATCCCAAGAAAGGTTATGAGAAAGAAGCACAACGACTTTCAGGGTATTGTGGAGGACATCCATTGGCTCTTAAAGTTTTGGGTAGTTCATTAATTAATGAAGATGCAGCCATATGGAGTGATGTCCTTGAAATGTTGGAGGCAAAAGGATATTTAACTGATGTACAAGAGAATGTACAAAAGGCTCTGCAAATTAGCCTTGATTCTTTATCAGGGGACTACAAAGAACTTTTTAAGCACATTGCTTGCTTTTTTGTTGGAAAAGAAAGAGAAGTTACAGAAACAATATTAAAGGAGCGGGGTTTCAAACATCATATGGGATCACCAAGCTCATTGATAGATGTCTTCTCACAATTGGAGGAAGAAATGAGTTAAGGATGCATCAATTGCTTCAAGATATGGGGAGAGATTTAGTTCGCAAAGAATCACCTGAGAAGCCATGGAAGCGTAGTCGAGTATGGAAACACGAGGAGTCACTCGATTTGTTAAAAAAGGACAAGGTAATACAACATAATCATTAAGAGCATTCTTTAGCTTTATCATCTATATAACAATGAATGGTTGATGTAATTTTCTCTTTGATAGGGTACCCAAACAATTCAAGGTCTTATCCTTGACATGAATCTGTTGAGAAAGGAGCTATCACGTAGATCAAGTAGTGTGACAGAGCATAACTTTCAAAATGATGATGTGAATAAGAGTTTCAGAGCTGCTCAACCAACCCAAATGGTCTATAAGTTCTTTTTAAGAATTTGGTTGTTTTTTGCTTGGCTTCTCCTAATGCTTTCATCTTCTCATTGCAAAAAAGTCGAATTGAGAGCAGATGCATTAAGAAAGATGGATAAGCTAAAGCTGCTCCAACTCAATTATGTAAAACTCAATGGATCTTACAAGAATTTTCCAAAAGGTTTAAGGTGGTTGTGCATGCATGGATTCCATTTAAAATTCATACCTTCAGACTTACCAACGGAAAATTTGGTTGCTATTGACATGTCTTATAGTAATTTGACACACCTTTGGAAGAAACCAAAGGTATGAAATCAAAGCTTTAACTCCAACTTTTAGTCTACTAATATCTTCATTATAATACTCCTGATTAGATCGAGGATATTCAATGCAACAGCTTCTTGGGTCATTGAAGATTCTTAATTTGAGTTATTGTAAGCTTGTTAGAGTTGAGGGCTTCTCTGGGCTACCTGCACTTGAGAGGTTGATTCTTAAAGGTTGTAAACGCTTGGTTCATGTGTGTGAGTCAATTGGTGGATGTTATGGCCTTGTTATTCTTGACATGAGCAAATGCAGTAAGCTTAATAATGTTCCAATTGGCATCAGCAAGTTAAAGAATGTTAGAAGTATATCATTAGACGGTTGCTTAGGTGCTAGTGAATTTCTAATGCGGATGAAGGATACGGAGTCATATGCATCTTCCTCTTCTGTTGGAGAATTTTTACTGAAAACTCCAAAATCATTTTTGCTACCTTCACTAGTAACCTTGTCGCTTAAGGGCAATAATTTATCTAATGAATCCTTTCCAAAGGACTTCAGTAGCATGCCGATGTTGAAGATATTACGTCTAAATGACAATCCAATTAATTCCCTGCCTGATTGCATGAGAAGCCTTAGCAGGCTTGAGATACTCGATGTTGGAGAATGTTCGATGTTGAATTCGGTATTGTGCCCTCCACCTACAATCAAATATTTTTTTACTGGAAAGTGTTTGTCACTTAGAAAAATTACATTCCCTCAAGAAATGTGGGCCCCACCAGCTTTGTATCACAAACATACTGAGTCATTGACCGAAATTGAAGGCATGATAAGAATTCAAGCTATAGCACAAATTGATGACCAAATATTATGTAGCTTGGGGTGGACAAATTTACAACGTGTGAAAGATCAGAAGATGCTGATATGGGATATACAAAGATGGTTTCGTTCAAAGAATCTCCCAGTCAGGGTATTCTCTTTCTTCTGCTCTGTTGTTTCTATGGATCTCACAAACACACACACACACACTAATAGGCATAAAATTCATACAATGTAATGTTTTAATTGCAGATGATTTACGAATTTGGGATATTTAGCACTTGTTTTCCTGGGAAGGCAGTTCCAGATTGGTTACCTCATAAAAGCAAGAGTTCATCAATATCATTCACCGTGCCATCGTTTTCAATGAATAAAACGATACAAGGAATAAATATAAGCTTTGTGCATGCATTTTTAGGCCCGAAAAAGGGAAGTCGTTTAAACATAAAAGTACAGAACGTGACAACAAATCGCACCTGGAGTTATGAAGGTCCTATATTTTCTCTCCAAGAAACTGATGAAGATATAGTATGGTTAAGTCATTGGATGTTTGGGAACAATGAGATTAAAAATAGTGATGAAGTTTGTGTTACAATATTAGAACCGGGAAATATTGTAATGGTAAGCGAGTGTGCAATCAGTCCGGTGTATAATACTGATAAGGAGAATAAAGAAGATCCTTTGAGTTATTACAAGTCATGGAAACATTATTGCTGGTGATCTGTCCAATTTTCAATAAGGTTATTACAAGCAGAACGACTTGCCGAGTATTGTGGAGGACATCCATTGGCTCTTAAACTGTCCATATTAGACAGGTACCCACGATCTTTTGGAGAAGTCGGAGCGCTTTTCAGACTCGTCTTAACTTTTGTTCATATGATATATATATATATATATATATATATATATATATATATATATATATATATATATATATATATATATATATATATATATATATATATATATATATATATATATATATATATATATATATATATGGGAAAGGTGAATATACCCTTAAGGGTATATAAGCTTAGGTACCCAAACTCATCATAATACATCGTTTTGTTTGATATATTTATTATAATGTTCTTCAACTTCAATCCTTAACTTGATTTACTTTCAAGATTTTCAAAATTTCATTATTATCTTCTTCTTACATCACATCTTTTTGACGAACATCAATTAGGCTATATATATATATATATATATATATATTATAGTTGAAAATGAAAATTGTGTAAAAGTAAAATAAATGTGCAATTTATAAAAATCTTTGACCGAAATCAACTTAGAAGTTGAATTATAAGAACATTAGACAATTACAATGTATATATATGATACAAAACGACGTAGTATGGTGAGTTTGGGTACCTAAGCTTATATACCCTTAAGGGTATATTCACTTTTCCCTATATATATATATATATATATATATATATATATATATATATATATATATATATATATATATATATATATATATATATATATATATATATATATATATGACACTTGTGACACTTTGATTTCGAACAAATGTAATGTATTGTTTTGTGTTTACTATGCTTACTATGTACATTGGTTGCGATATACATGATGTCCTCCGCCCCGAAACGTTTCCGCCTTAGGTTTGGGGGTGTGACAGTATCATATTACATAAAACTATTTAACAAATATTTAGGAAAAAACTTAAAACAATTAATCGATTTGATATATTTAAATAAGTAATATCATAAATAAAAGTAGATTAAATGAATCCTTTTGGAAATCATTTTCTCATTTGCAATGATACAAAGATACGGTGAAATATTTAATGCCATCAAATAAACAAATAGTTGAATTTTAGAAATAAAAACGATTCATTGAAATAAGGAGGGTTTATTTGGATATAATTTTTAACTTATTAAAACAAATACTTAACCAATTACCATTAGCCCAAAACTTATCCATTATTTATCAGCCCGAATAAAATTTAACCTAATTAGTAATATTGAAAAGTCAAAATAAAGAATTTTCTCAACTCTTAGCACACGCAGCACGCACGTTCCAAAGCAGGCGGCTGCCTATTCTTCCGGCGACTTCTTCTCCGATAACCCCCCCCCCCCCCGACGACGAAATTTTCTTCTCCGAAAAAGCTAGATATTCAACTCTTGTGCTTCGCGTTTCAACAATGGAACTATCATCTTCCATGCATCTGGAAACCCGAACAACCACTGGTTTCGACATCTCGAGCTCCACCATTTCACTACAACGCAAAAATGAATCTCCACTCCCTTTGCTCTCTGTTTCCACCTTTGCTACATCTTTTTATCACGTTGATGGCATGTATAGTGACATAGATTAAGGACGTTGCTTTTCATTCAACAAATTGACGGCCTAATAGTTGTAATCAAAAGTTGTTGGAAACCTTGGAGTGATTTCAATTCATCGCCTATGAGAAATATGTTAAAACTAGATCCAAACTCGGAGATAGCAGACTCGAAGGCAACAATTGTGGCCACTGAAACTGTTGGTGATTTAATCACCAAATATATTTTAGTGTAATGGATTTAACAAGTGTTTCAAGAATAGTGTTTTAATTATAATACAAGTTAGGAGGTCTGGGAGTGCACACTTGTATTTACTGAACATTGTTAGTACGAACCCTGATCTACTGTGTCAAGTCTGGGTTCGGGGCAGCGCCCCGAAAACAGTTCTTGTTTTAATTCGTATTTTCTCAAAGTTGAAAATTGTTCTTGTTTTATCCGTTGTGTGGATACGTCCGGGAAATGTATGACTTCGTTGAAACACAGAAAAACTGAAAGTACGCTTTCTTCTTTATTCTCTCTCAAAATTGATTCTGTGTTTTGTGCCTAAAATCAGAATCGTTTCTTCAGAAATTATCCTAGTTTTGATTTCGTGATACCCAAGGCAATTAGGATCGAAATATCAAACAAGGAAAGTGTATCACACGATTCCTGTTTGTGATCCAGATTTCCTATATTCTAATTTCGAAATTCCCCAACAATCTTGTTTGATATTTTCGTTTTCTGGAAAAGATGGCTGGCAATTCATTGAAAGATATGAATACTTCGTTTGGCAAATTAGAGAAATTTCAGGGCCAAGATTTCAGACGTTGGCAAAAGAAGATGCACTTCTTGTTGACTACTTTGAAAGTTGTTTATGTTCTCTATACTCCAAAACCAGAAGAGGTTGAAGATGCAAGTCTGGAACAAATAAGAAGGAGAAGCAAATGGGAGAATGACAACTACATCTGCCTTGGTCACATTCTTAATGGTATGTGTGATTCCCTCTTTGACACTCATCAAAACATGGAAACTGCAAGTGAATTATGGAACACACTTGAAGCAAAACATATTGCAGAAGATGCTTCAAGTAAAAAGTTCATTGTTTCTGATTTCAACAATTATAAAATGGTTGATTCTCGATCTGTAATGGAACAATATAATGAAATCCTACGAATTTATGGTCAATTCAAACAACACAACATGTTCATGGATGAATCCTTTTCTGTTTCAAGTGTGATTGATAAACTTCCACCCTCATGGAAGGATTTCAAACACCATCTGAAACATAGAAAGGAAGAAATAAGTTTGATTCAACTTGGGAGTCATTTGAAAATCGAAGGACTTCGTGATCAAGAGAATGACAAAGGAACTGGAAAGGGAAAATCTGATTTTGGACAGCCCCAAGTTCATATGGCTGAATGTGATAAAGAAGACAATTCTAATCACAAGGGCAAGAGTAAAAAACGTAAATATGAGGGTCACAACAAGAAGTCCAACAAAAAGTACAAGGATTCCAAGGAACTTGTGTGTTGGAGATGCCATCTGAAAGGGCATATGAAACGTGACTGTCGGGTGAAACTTGGAAATAAAGGTGCAAGTGGTAGTGGAAAAGATGGTGCTGGTGGTAGCAGTGGATCTCATGATCAATCTGCAACCAAAGGTCAAATTTCTATTAATCTTGTAAGTTCAGTATTCAATGTTATGCTACTAACTCCAGAAGTTTCTTTTGTACAGGGGGTTGATACATATTCATGGTGGCTTGATACCTGTTCTACACATCACGTGTGTAATGATGAACGGTGGTTCACGAAGTTGAACATAGTAAATAAAGGTTCTGTCTTACATATGGCGGATGAAGGATCAAAGCCAATTTTAGGATCTGGTGTTGTTAGTATTACGTTTACTTCTGGAAAAACAATTAATTTGTTTGATGTATTGTATGTTCCAAAGGTTCGAAAGAACCTTGTGTCTAGTGGTTTGTTGAATTGTATGGGTTATAAACAAGTGATCGAATCGAACAAGTATGTGTTGTCTAAATGTGGAATATTTGTGGGATTTGGTTATTATTGTGATTGTGTTTTTAAGTTAAATGTTATAAGTTGTTTTGCATCACATATCAAATCTACTTGTATGACTTCTGCATCTAATCTTGATAACTCTATGTTATGGCATAATAGATTAGGACATGTTCATATTAAAAGAATGATTGAAATGTCAAAATCCAGATTGATTCCAGCTTTTGACATTAATTCTGAAAAATGAAAAACTTGTATGTTAACTAAAATCACGAAACAACCGTTTCCAAATGTTAATAGAAAATCTAAATTGTTGGAATTGATTCATAGTGATCTATGTGATTTCCATGCTACACCTTCCTTGGGAAATAAAGAGTACATTGTTACCTTTATTGATGATTCAAGTCGATTTTGTTATGTATACTTGTTACATTCCAAAAATGAAGCTTTGGAAAAGTTTAAAGTATATAAAACCGAAGTTGAATTACAGTTGGGTATTTCTATAAAATGTCTTCGGACAGATAGGGGAGGAGAGTACATGGATTCTGAATACTTTCAATCGGTTGGAATTATTCATGAAACCACAGCTCCTTACAATCCACAACAAAATGGTGTTGTTGAACGGAAAAATTGAGTTTTAAAAGAAATGGTAAATTCGATGCTTTCTTTTTCGGGTTTAAGTGAAGGGTTTTGGGGTGAAGCTATGCTCACAACCAATTATGTGCTAAACCGGGTTCCTAATAAACGGAACAAAGTTACTCCTTATGAACTTTGTGTTGGATATAGTGTCTAAGTCCATAACTTTATTTGGTATGAACCTGACCCGACCCGGCATGGTCCATTTGGGTTGCATGGCATTGCAATACTTGGATAGACTAAATGAGAGAATAAGGCACTTATGATTATTAATATATTATAAGTTCTAATATATTAATAATAGTATTATTTAATTAGTATTTGATCAAGTATTAATTTGGTGATCAAAGTGAGACTAATTAAATATATAGGGTTGATTATGACAATCATCAATTCTTTTATGGTGGATTAATGATCCATGGTTTATGGGTTTGGTTATAACCATATGGAGCTCCATGGATAGTACATGGGAGTTACAAACCCATGGGTCATGAGAAATGAAGATTCATGACAATTAGGGTTTACATTTGTAACTCCTAATTATGACACACTATAAAAGAAACCCTATAGCATGCAAAATCGGCACTAGTGTTACTAGAGAGGGCATAACCGATTTTTGAGTGTAAGAAATATTCTATCTAGTTATTCCAAGTTTTGTGGTGTTGTGTGAAGCATTTGAGGCACAACATTTGGGGTGCTAGGCTCACAAAGTCTTGAAGGAATCCAAGCAACAACAAGGTATGTATTTCTACTAGTTCTTTATGTTTTATGTAATCCCCATACCATGCTAGTTAGGAAATAACCTTGAAAAAGAAATTTGCATGTATATAGAGAAAACATAGATTCAAGGTTATTAGGGTTGCATGTACACTTAGGAAGTGTTAGAATGCTCAAAACCCAACAGTGGTATCAAAGCCTAGGATTGTTTTCTATATACTTGATGCAAACTGCTTGAAAAAGTCAACAATCTGCTCTCTGACGATTGGACTCGCCGAGTTCATGGGGAGGACTCGCCGAGTCCATGAACAAATTCATCCTACTCGTCGAGTAGGATAATGCACTCGACGAGTAAGTGCGTGTTGGGCAGTATTTTCGTGTTTTGTTGCTGGAAATGGATTAGAATCATTATCCTAATCTGTTTTGGACTTGTAAAATCTGTTTTTCAAAATGATAATGATTATGTTAACCCATTTTACATGACTTTTATTAATTTTCAAGTATTGTATATGTTTATCTGATTTCTTGAAAATTGCTTGGCATGAATTTGTGTTCTTATGAGTTTTTAGAAGATCATAGGAATTATGTGTAACCTCCATGTGTGTTTAATTCATGATCTTAATGGCAATAATGGTGTCCATAACTTGTCCTCAAGTTATGGATAACCAAAGGTCACTTCTTTAATTTGTGTTTAAAGAACTAAAGAGGTTTCATAAAATGAAGAGTCTTCATTTTTATGAACCATTAAAACTCATAAGTTACAAATTGAAGAGACTTGGAATAGTTTCAATTCTTGCCTCCAAGTTTTGGAATTTGTAAAGACTTACACTTTAATTCCAAATTAATTTTTTTTTTTAAAGTTAAAAAAAAAATCAAACTTTATGGACTTCATTAAATTAATTAAAGTGTTTAATTAAAAGATTTAATAATTCCATAAAGACATGGTTTAAGTTTAATTAAATTAAGAGTATAGTTTAATTAATAGATTAAACCACCAAGTATTTTAAATGTTTAAAATACACCCTTATACTATTATTATAATTTTAATTATATAGATATGTATAAGAATATGTCAATCTTACCGTTAGTAGGCCTCATTCATGAAGCCGGTCTATAAGGGGGGTATAAGGTTGTTGCCTATAAAATGGTGACTTAATGGGTGTCCACTCTCACCCACCGCTTCCTTGATCGGTGGAGGGTCGTTAGCCGAACAGGTAGGATACGACTTTAAATGCTCATTAAAAGTATAATGAATTATAAAGTAACTATACATTATAAATTCCCAATCTTAGTTACTTTAGGAAAATGTGAAATTGGTGCTAGCCCATAAAATTACACTTTGTACCTTACCAAGTCGTTAGTGGAGCGTGTGTGGTTAACCGGCACACTAACATGGACTAGTAAGAGTGGCAAGGGGTAACTTGACTTTATTATAGATCGGTGGAGCGTGTGTGGTTAACCGGCACATCGATTATGTAATATTGTTGAGGGTACCAAGTCAATTTGTATGGTTATTCACACCTTGTTTGTGATCCTTGGCATCCCAGTCACAAACTTGAGAGGGCACAATCAAGATTCAAACATGCCATTGAAAGTTCAATGTATCTCAAAAGATCTAGGAGTTTCAAATCCAATTAAAACTTAATTATATTTCGTTTTTCATGATGGAAATTGGTAAATCTTCATTT